CGCAATTACGGCCCGATCCTTACGAAATTTTGCACGAAAGTGGGGTTGGGGTCTGAATAGAAGCCAATTTCATTTGGAGTTGATCGCCAAATGTTTAGGGGTTGAAATGGACCAAATACTGAAAAAATGTCGGATTTTGCAGTAGCTATACAGGTCGCAATTATAGACCAATCGACGCGGAATTTCGCATGTAGCTAGGGGGAAGAAGCCTACCAATTTGGGTGGTCATTGGATAATATTTAGCGGGTAATATAGACCATATTTTTTGTGTTGAAAAAATTCAAAATTTTTCATTAAACCGTGAATATTTTAAATCCCGTCGAAACCACAAAGCAATGACAAGGTTACTTCTGATCTTTACATTGATGTTAACATCCAACAAATCGGATATATAGCAAAATATGTGCGATATATATGTCTATCAAAGAAGATATGCTTGAAAGATCTCTTATATTTCGAGAACGGCTGAACTGATTTCGACAGTTCTTAATCATTCAGAATGGCCTCTTGGCAGAAAAGAAAAAAACGTCTAAAAAATCGCATAAAAATATCTCTCTAAAGATGAAAGTATTGGTTTTGTAAAAATTTTTTGGAATATTTTCATTTTGAATTAAACATTTGGTAATATTTCTACAGCTAACAAAACTAAGTAGTTAGGATATCAGGATATCATATACAGATCGCATTTATGGCCCGATCCTTACGAAATTTTGCATGGGGATAACATGAGGGTCAGAATAGATGTCTACTCTTTTTGGAGATGATCGTTATATATTTAGGGGTTGAAATGGACCAAAAAAACTGCAAAATTGTCAGCAGGTCGTAATTATCGCCCGATCCTCAGGCACATTTGAATGGGGGTTACCGGACATTGCAAAAGCCAAGCAGTTTTGGATGGCCATCCAAAAATATTCAATGTGCGAAGGAGTTTGCCAACTTTTGTAGACAAAATACGAAAATGTCCATTCCAGTGACTCTTTGTAGAATTCACAAATACAGGAAAGACGCACTTCTGACTATTTCGTTAAGGCTGATTTCGTTGAAGAATATAGTCATGTGTCTGTATCTCATATAGATGCGTTTCAGTCAAAAACCAATAATAAATGTTAATCTTTTGCCACTTCTGAGAGATTATAGGTATTTGGGAAATATTGGTTCCAGATCCAGGAAGACCATTTACGTGCAACATCTACCAATAAATTGGAAATGAGCAAATTAGTTTAAGTTGCTATTATTCGAAAATTAGAGAACGAAACCTGATGGTTTTCTTTTATTATTTGACACAATATCTTGTGGAATTCTTTCGAGTATCTCGCCTATATAAACAGTATCGTTTATTATAGTGTTGTAGGGTATTCAACGGTCGGCCCCGCTCTACTGTAGCCTTTGCTTACTTGTTTGTCATAGATTTTCGTCGTTTTTTTTTTTGAACTGGTGCTTGAAAGTAACATAAAACTTTATTTTACACAGAAAGTTTCAAAAGTAGAAATTAAGAATATTCCATTCGATATTTATATATTACAAGGAAATTATTTCTTTGTGTTTCGGGCAGTTAATTTTTATACGTTTCCAATATAAGTACTTTATTTTTGTAGGAAAGTGTCAAGGGAATAAATATTAAAGGTCCAATTTCATTATGACTCTCTGAATAAAATAAATGTGTAACATTAATCTATATCTATAAACCAGTAAAGAAAGCCCTGAAGTCGGGCGGGGCCGATTTTATGATACCCTACACCACTTTGCTAATTTAGTTGAGCTCCACTTAATAATTAAAAGTGTTTATGGGAGAATTCAATCATACACGCTATGATTATAATTATAAGTTAAAATTCAAAGGACTAAACATGCCGAAGCATTTGTATCTTTAAATTCGGATTTGTATTGCCCATTTTTTGCAAAATTAATTTGAAATCGGATAAAAATATATATGGGAACTATATGCAAATCTGAACCGATCTCGATAAAATTTGGCAAAGATATTTCTGAGCTGTATTGTATATATTACTCTGAATATCGTTGGTACGGAGTGCATATTACGGCTGTGGGTAACAAATACAACAAATCGGATGAACAATATATATGGGAGCTACAGCTATATCTGAACCTATCTTCACCAAATTTGACATACTACCTTCTAGACTCAATTCGGTCGTATGTGCCAAATTCCGTCCCATTTGGGCAAATATTAGACGTTTGGTGCACAATAAATGGTAAATCGGACGAAGTTATATATGGGAGCTATATCCAAATCTGAACCGATCTCGATAGAATTTAGCAAAGGTATTTCTGAGCTGCATTTGATATATTTCCCCAAATATTGTTGTTACAGAGTGCATATTACGGCTGCGGAGGACAAAAATAACAACTCGGATGAACAATATATATGGGAGCTATAGCTATATCTGAACCAATTTCGATAAAATTTGGCATACTTATTTTCAGGCCTGATTTGGTTGTATGTGCAAAATACCATACTATTCGGGCTGATATTACACGTTTGGTGCACAATAAAAGGCAAATCGGATGAAGATATATATGGGAGCTATATCTAAACTTTTACCGATTATCTCCAATTTCAATAGGGTTCGTCCTTGGGCCAAACAAATGTTGTTTGCAAAATTTCGTCTCAATCGGATAATAAATGCGACCTGCATTTTGTTCACAAGAATACATGGACAGACAGACGGACGGACAGACGGACTTACATGCATAAATCAACTCAGAATGTGATTCTATGCAGATCATCAAAAGGAACTATGGGTCTATCTCGTTTCCTTTTGCCTGTTACAAACAAATGCACAAAGACATAATACCCTGACCACCTTGTGGTGTAGGGTATAAAGAGGAAAAGGTTTGTATGTATGTTTGCTTGTAATTTACGGACTCGAAATCCGCTGAAGAGATTTTCCTGAAAATTTCCAAGTACACTAAAACATCGCCTGAAGTAACATAGGCTTTAAAAATTTTTGAATTTCCACTTGGAACTGGAGATATGGCATCAGAATCGGAGGTACCTCCCAAAAATTTAGATTTTATATGCACATATCTATTGATCGATTGCAGATACAGTCTTCAAATTTGGAATGAGTAATGGAATTTGAATCAATAATAATTCTGCCAAATTGTATTGAAATCGGTTCAGATTTGGATATAGCTCCCATATATATTTTCGGTCGATTTCATGTATTTGATGCATTAAAAAACCTGTGTACCTCTAATCTCAATGAAATTTGGAATGTGTAACAGAATTTAAAACGAATATACATTTGGCAAATTATATTTAAATCAGTTCAGATTTGGATATAGCTCCCATATATATTTTCGACCGATTTCATTTGTTTGATGCACCAAGCACGATATGTAAGTTCGATTCCAATGAAATTTGGAATGTGTGACGGGATTTGATCAGAAAATAAAGTTGTCAAATTACATTGAAATCGGTTCAGATTTGGATATAGCTCTCATATATATTTTCGGCCGATTTCGTTTATTTGATGCACAAAACACGATACGTATGTCCGATTCCAATGACATTTGACATGAGTGACTAAATTTGGTACAAAAATAAGTTTATTTAATTATATTCAAATGGCTTCAGATTTGGATATAGAGCCCATATATATCTTCGGTCGATTTTACATATTTGATGCACGCCTCACGATATGGTTGTCCAATTCCAATGAAATTCAGAAAGAGACACGAAATTTGGTACCAAAAAAAAAATTGCCAATTTATATTTATTAGGTTATTATTATTAGGCCGAAGTCATGTATGTTATGTACCAAACACGATATGTTCGGACATATGAAATTAAAAATGTGTGGCGGAATTTGGTTACAATAATAAATTTGACAAATTAATAAGAAATTGGTTAAGGTTTGGATATAGCTCCCATATATATATTCTCGGCCAATTTACATATTTGATGCACCAAACACGGTATGTACCTCCAATTTCAAGTAAATATGCAAGGTGTGATGGAATTTGGTGTAAAATTAAATTTTGTCAAATTTTATTGAAATCGGTTCAGATTGGGATATGGTTTTTTTTTAAAAAGCATTGACCCACAACACCTCTGCATTGCTACGATTATTACGGGAAAGTATGTTGCTACCTCTAATTCTCTAAAGCAAGAGAAATGCCACTCAACTTCAAAAGATTGGAGTTTCCTGCACGCTTGGCAATTTGCTATGAAATTGAGAAATCCGAAGGACAAACCCTTCGAGTACGCGGACTAAATTTGGCATGTTTTTAATCCTAAAAATATTCGTATATGAAATTTTGAATGCATATAAAGTAGTTTCAATTTTTAGAATAAGTTTAGATTTGTACGAATGGTTCACCTTTGGCATGAATTATGGCCTTCAAACAGCCAATGAAACCGTCACACGCTACCCGGTATTTTTGCCCATTCCCGGCGAAGTGCTTTCTTGAGGTGATTGACACTTTGGTATTTTTTAGCGCCAACCTTGCTTTCCAAAATACTCCAGACACAATAGTCCAACGGATTGGTATCTGGAGATTTTGGTGGTCATAGTGCGCTGGAAATGAAGCGAAATGAATTTTGTAACCATTCTTGGGTGGCGCTTTCTGAGTGCCATGGTGCTGAGCCTTAAGTAAACAAGCTGACCTCTTTGCAAAACTGATGGACAACGAATGTTTTCTCATCGGAGAAAATCAAATTCGGCAGTTCATCACTTGCGGCCAAGCGAAGCAACTCTTTAGCTTTTTTGAGTCTATTTTCTCTCTGTTGCGGTGTAAGTTCTTGCACTTTTTGAAAATTGAAAGGCTTTACCCCGAGCTCATTTTTAAATATTTGCCGAATGGAATATTGCGATATGTTCAGCTCACGAGCCATTTTTTGGCCACTGCGACACGGGTTTCCAACAAGTCGCTTCTTTACTTTTCGAACAATTTTTGCTGAGGGCATACATCGGGTTGACAAAACCGACTGATGTTTTTAAATTGATTAATTCAAATTAAATTTAATAACACAATAAGGATACGTCTAAAGCTTTTATTTCGGTATTTAACTATTTTAACAATTATTGCACAAAATTTAGAATAAATAACAAATCACTCTCGTGGGCGGTTTTTATGCTCTCAAATGACTTCCTCATCTTTCAGTTCACTCAGTGTCTGAGTTATTTCCACACTACCCACCAGCTGTTCATACTTTTGTTTCTCCTCAGCTTCGACGGGGTACCAATCTGTGGGGCGGCAGCAACGTAGGAAACGCATTTTTAACGAACCCATCGAACGAGACATTTGATAAATGACAAAGCCGGGTATTCCCAGCCATGGAATGGCTATAAAAATTATGGCACATACATCGATGACAAGTGAAGTGATTTTATGTTCATAATGCGATATAAAGAAGCCACCGATCTGCCAAAGAAATTTGGAGAAAAAATCAGAAAAAAAGAAATTGAGAATAAAATGAAAGATTTCCTTCTTACCAAGGCCAAGACCATGCCCAGTGGTGCCACAAATCGTAAAATATACACATTCCAGGTGGAAAAACGATGGCTCGTCATAAATTCGAAATCTCTCTGGAACCGTTCTCGACCATAGATCCAGAGTACTATCAAAATCAGCAACAGATTTATGGCAGTTTGTGTGTTATATGTATCGATGGCCAGAGCCGAGAAATAAGTCAGGCCATGCTAGTTGAAGAAAATTACAGATTAATCGATTGATTGATATTTTCTCTTTACATATTGTTACATACATTTGAAGTGAAGTAGATGGAAACCGCTGCCAAGAAACCTATCAAACCATAGGCCACCTGAAGTTTTTTCTCTCGAAGGAAATCGAACTCATCCAGAATTGAGGTAAGAATGGTATGCAACTGGAGAATCTGAAAGAAAAATAACAAAAATATGTTAATAAACATTAGTTAGGATATCCCTCCTACAAGCATAGTATGGAGGGTATATTAAGTTCGTCATTCCGTTTGTAACTCATCGAAATAATAATTTTCGACCCAACAAATTATATAAATTCTTGATCAGCGTAAAATTCTAAGACGATTTTGCCCAGTCCGTCCATCGGTCCGTTTGTTGTAATCAAGCTAGAGTCAAAACGAATAAAAATAGGAAGCTAAAATTTTGCACAGATTAGTCAAGCTCAAAGATGGCAAGCTCAAAGACGGCAGGCAGTCAAGCTCAAAGATGGGCTATATCGGTCCACGATATCGTATAGCCCCCATATAACGGTACCACCCGATATTCGGCATTCTGATGATTGTAGCTACATTTTTTAATGGAATTGTCTAAAACCCCATTCTAGGAGTTCTTTCTTAGCACTTTACTCCATGGAGGAGAAATTTCTATAGCCCACATACAACTGTATTTGCCAATATTCGGTATTCTGATCATTTTAGCGATATTATTCATCGGGATTGCTTCAAATTTCGTAATGAAAATTGTCTTTGCAGATCCAGGTCTTCGTATAGCCTCCATATAACGGCACCGCCCAATATTCGATATTTTTATGATTTTAGCGACGTAATTCACCGGAGTTTTTTAAATTTCCTATTTAGAGTTCGTAATGGGAACTACAGTCTATGCCAGAAAATTGTCTATGCAGGTCCAGGTCTTCGAATAGGCCCCTACCTCCCTATATTCGGTATTTTGACGAGTTTAGCTACAATGTGCACCGAAATCGATTAAAATTTCGTATTTGTAGTTTCTAATAGGTACTACGGTCTGTGTTAGAAAATTGTCTATGCAGGTCCAGGTCTTCGGGTTATACGAATATCTGAACATCACTATATATTCGGTATTTTTTATCGCAATATTCCATTTGGCAAATATTGAAAAATGAGCTCGGGGTAAAGCCATTGAAATTCCAAAAAGTGCAAGAACTTACACCGCAACAGAAAGAAAATAGACTCAAAAGAGCTAAAGAGCTGCTTCGTTTGGCCGAAAGTGGTGACCTGACGAATTTGGTTTTCTCCGATCAGAGAACATTCCAGCAGTAAAAAAACAAAATGATCGTGTTTTCTTGCCAAAGAGGTCAGCTGAAAATGTGCCCCTTCGGTTGGCCACCAGAACTCAAGCGCCTCTCGTTTTAATCGAACGTGTCATTAGAATAAATGCCAAAATATTATCGCGAAAATATTCTGGAGGGTGTATAAAATCCTTTGGCACGCAAATATTTTGGTCGCAGATCCAATTATGGTTACAAAATGAGGTTCCTCGCTTCATTTCCAGCGCACAATTGCCACCAAAATCTCCGGATACCAATCCGTTGGACTATTTTGTCTGGAGTATTTTGGAAAGCAAGGTTGGCACTAAAAAATACCAAAGTATCGATCACCTCAAGCAAGCGCTTCGCCGGGAATGGGCCAAAATACCGCAGAGCCGAATATACCGAAATATAAAGATTCATGGTTATAACTCTATTCCAAATTTATTTGATTTGATACCAAGAGTTATCTAAATATTAAATTTCAGAATTTTATCTCTAACCTTTCATCCAATACCAATTTTAGTATCACTTAGTACTTTTCATACAATTATAATACACACTTTCAAAACCACCTCCATATCTCAATCCCAGATACCAACCTACATATCTCACTCCCAGATACCAATAGTAAAATTTCGGGATTCCAGTTCTCTCTCTTCACTCAATACTCAGCACTTTTTGTACAATTATAGTACACATTTCCGAAACCACGTCCAAATGTGCTGGCTACACATGAACAACAATCCAATTTTCAGATTTCAAGCGCTATCTGTTCACCTAATATCACATTGTACCAAATAAGGTACTTTTTAGTACTTTTCGTGCACTTGTAGTACATGTTTCCAAAACTACCATTACTAAAACTACCACAAATCTACCTCCAGCTGGGACCCCAATGCAAGATTTCAAAATTCCAGCCGCATCCATTCATCCTAAAATAAGTTGTTCCAAATTGAGTACCATTTAGGGTCTAAAACCGCCCTAGTTCCCTTTGGACCAAATCCATTTCAGGACATTTAGAGTCGATCTAGCGATGTCCGTCCGTGTGGATGTCGGTCTACCTGGCTGGTGCGCACGACAACTCTCGAAGGGAGTATACGATTTGGTCCAACTTTGGTACATCTGAATATTATTATTCAACTTAGATCGAGTCCGGAAATGGGCAATATCGGTTCACTCCTTCTGGTACCTCCTCACAAAAGGTTGAAATTAAAAAAAATATTTTACTGCACAAAAAGAGAAAGGATAATCCAATTTTGCTCTAACAATGCAAATCCTAATAATATCAGCATCAGTCCTAGGCCAGGTGCGAAAATGGACAATATCGGTCCACTCTATCGAATACCTCCCCCACAAAGGGTCAACTTTTTGAATAATTATAACTCTTATAAAATGTGATAAAAGAGTCTGATTCTCTTCAAATTACACACATCACAATATTGTTTTTATGCCATGCCATATGGTTGGGTTTGAAGATGGAACATATCGGTCCGCTCCTTCTGGTACCACCCCTGCATAGGGTCAAATTTTTGAATAACCGTGAAAATCATAAAACGCGAAATTAACGTCTGATGCCATTCAGACTTGACACATCTCAATATTTCTATCCAAACAAGGTCTGTTATGAAGATGATAAGGATTGGACTATTCCTTCTGGTGCCGCCCCACGAGGGTAATAATTTTGAAAAACCAAAATGAGCATAAAATCCGAAATAAGCATCCGGTTCTCTTCAAAGCTCACACATCCAATTATTTCTACTAACACATCTTCTGCTGGGAAGATGGGATATATGGGCGCACTCCCATATCTTGAAAAAGGTCCCTGTGAAAACGCGCTTGAGGCTTACATTTTTAATCAAAATAATCCACGCAAAACAATACGTTGAAAGGTTTCAAATTTCAAAAAAAACCTCCACACTTACCATTAACAACACACTCGACCAGAACAACATGAAATAGAAAATAATCGACCACAAATTAGCCCAGGGAAAGTGTGTCAAAACACTACCCGTTGACAAATACAAAATCCACATGTGCTCCACTTGGGCATAATAGTCGCCGTTGGTCTTTTCTGCAACAAAAAACGACAATTAAATACAACATTACCTATCAGAATCCCAACATTGCCCTTTACTCACCTGAGAAAAATGTCTCACTCAAATTGGTCAAAAAGTCCAGACCGATCATCACCACAAATTGTCCCAGGGCAATTAGACAACTTTGTTTGATGACATTTGTGCGAAATTTGTTAAAACTGGACAGTGTCAGGAATATGCCCCAACCGGGTCCAAATGCCGCCATGCCATGCATGGGTATTGTTATGATACCCGTTACAATATCTCGCCACCGCATCGTAAATAAGTGACTGAAAACATGGCCCGAGCCGGGTAGAAAACTGAAGGCAATCAAAAAGAAAACCATGAGACCTATAACCACCAGAACAGAGTAACGTACAATTGTTCCTATCTAAAAGTGGAGAGAGTTTAATTTCTTATAATTCAAGGTAATGCCTAAAATGACTCTTACCACTTCGGTCTGAAAGAATTTGTAGACAATTACAGCTATAATGGCCCATACCATCAGAGCGCACAATATCAACTGCCAACTCATTGAAAAATCAAAGTCATCATAGCGGAACACTTTCAGGTCATGGAACAGATATCTGCAAGTAAGATGAAAAATTATATGAAAATCTTTTAATAGGATTGTTTGCATTTCTATTCTGAGCCTGAGCTATTTGTTTAAAATAATGGATCACAATTTTTATACCCTACCGCATAATGATAATGGGTATAATGTCTTTGCGCATTTGCTTGTAACGCGGAGAAGGAAACGAGATAAACCCGTAGTTAATTTTGAGGATCTTCATAGAATCACTTTCCAAGTCGATTTATGCATGTCAGTTCATCCGTCTGTCCATATATTCTTGTGAACAAAATGCAGGTGGTATTTATTATCCGATTGAGATAAAATTTTCCAAACAATATTTGTTTGGCCCAAAGACAAACCCTATTGAAATTTATGATATTCGGATCAGACTTAGATATAGCTCCCATATATCTTCAACCGATTTCGGGTTAATTGTGCACCAAATGGCCAATATAAGTTCAGATGACCTACATTTTGGTGCATCCCATCGTATTCAGTCTAGAAGCAAGTAAATCAAATTTGGAGAAAATCGGTCCAGATATAGCTTAGCTCCCATATACAAGGTGAGATAAAAATAAAATACAACAAAGTCAAACGCCATTCTTTTTACATTTTTTTCTAATTTTATGGAATGAAAGCGAAAAATGTCGGAAATAGCATCAAATCTGGCACGAATTATGGCCTTCAAACGGCCAATGAAACCGTCACACGCTGCCCGAATTTTGCTCTGCGGTATTGGCCCATTCCCGGCGAAGCGCTTGCTTGAGGTGATCGACACTTTGGTGTTTTTTAGTGTTAACCTTGCTTTCCAAATACTCCAGACACAATATCCGATTGGTATCCGTTGGTGGTATTTTGGTGGCCATTGTGCACTGGAAATAAAGCGAGGAACCTCATTTTGTAACCATTCTTGGGTGGCGCGTGCTGAGTCCTGTTGGAATATCCAAGGTCTGTGGCCTAAATGTTTGCGTACCCAAGGCTTTAATACACCCTCCAGAATATTTTTGCGATAATATTCTGCAACGAATGTTTTCTCATCGGAGAAAACCAAATTTAAAACTTTATTGAATATTGGGTAAAATGATAAAGCCGAAGTTCTGAGTTTGGATATTTAGGTCACTGTTGGTTTCAAGGCGTTTCATATGGAGACCTTAAAATAGTTTAAGACTGAAAAATTCGATGTGGGTCTATTCTGCAATGGTAAACTCCAAAAAATTTTGAAGAATTTTTGGTGTAAAAGGTACATATTTTCCTATAATTATTTCAAAACATTAGTCATTATTTGCGCAATAAACCCGAAATCGGATTATGAATATATATGGGAGCCATATTCAAATTTTAGCCGTTCTCGATAAAATTTGGCAGAGATATTTCCGAGCTTTATAAGATATCTGGTACCAAATGTGAGAGACTTAAACACCAAATCGGTTGAAACATATGTACTTGCTTCTAGACTGATTTCGGTCGGATGTACCAAAATTCAGGACTTTTTGACAGATATTGGTAATTTCGTGCCCAATTAACCCGAAATCGGTTGAGAATATACATGGGAGCTATATCCAAATCTGAACCGATCTCGACTAAATTTGAAACACTTATTTCAGAGCTGTATCTGATACTAAAGATCATTGTTGTGGAATCAATATTACGCGTGTGAGGGACTTTAAACCCCAAATCGGATAAAACATATATATGAGAGCTATAGCTATATCTGAACCGATTCACACCAAATTTGAGATACTGGTTTAAAATGACAAAATTCAGTCCATTTGGGCTGATATTAGCCATTTGGAGCACTATAAACCTGATATCGGATAAAGATATATATGGGATAATCAATGCGACCTGAAATTTGTTCACAAGAATACATGGACGGACTGACAAGCGTAAATCGGCTCAGAAAGTGATTCTATGAATATCCTCGAAAGCAACCATGGGTCCATCTCGCTTCCCTCTCCATGTTACAAACAAATGTAGAAAGGCATAATACCCTTACCACTATGTGGTGTAGGGTATAAAAAACTTGAATAATATTACTTCATGAAGACAGTTGATTCATAGATTTAACTTCGTTTATTCGCCCTATATTGTTATTCGCAATGATTTAAGGATGGCTCTTTTTTGGGAACGATTATTGTGTGAGCTCTTCTAGAACCCATACTTACTGAAAATACAATACCGATGGTATATGGTGATTGATAAACACATACGAGGACGTATCATTACTGGACGTATCATTTGCGCTGATATCTGGTTCGGTTTCATTACGTATGTATACATTGCATATCTGAAAGAAAATAAGTAATGATGATTCCATTCCATTCTCTTCGGAAATCTCACATATAAAACCTACATTTATTTCCTCACTTTCTGTGAGATTTTGCGCCCATGTCTTAAAACCCTCGCAACTCCATGGCAGTGTGGGATTGAATGAGGCGAACATATAGAGCAGCGGTACCATGGCAAAAATACTGTGATAGGCCAGAATGAATATGTTCGTTATAAGTGAAACAAAGCCAATACCTGCAAAAATTATTGTACATTGTTTAGTTTATATTTGTGTGTACTGGATTTCTTACCTTTAAATATTGGAGACAGTCGAAATGCTGATATAAATCCGCTGCTGGAAAATTGTCCCATGTAGGATTGTAACACCATAAGGGGCACAGTGTAGATAACCATGCCCAAGAGATAGACCGGAATTAGGACAAGAACTGAAAAAAAAAACAAAACAATTATATAACTTTGTGTAAAGTACGATAACAGTTTCTAAAAAAGTTATTTTAAAAGAGGTAGCGCAAAAAAAAGAGACTCCATAAAAAGGGGTACTTTCGGATGAAAACCTTAATATAAATGAGGTCCAATTGATTATTGTTTGACAGAGGCCTTTGTACCTCTGATACCAAATAACATTGTTGCATAGTGCCTGATATACAAGCCGAGATGAAAAAACTGCAGTAACTTCAGACTGCTGTCATTTCTAGGGCACTCGACCGACAGCTTTTAAAGTTATTCCAGCGACAGCTCATTACATTGTTTACAAGCGCACAAAAGCATTTTGGTGAGAATTTTCCAGATAAAAAGTTATTCCTGATGGAATTCAAGCGTGATAGTGTGATTTCTTTATATTTGGCTGGAAAACCACAAGAGGCTATCGTTAGAGCACTCCAGCATTTAAATGGGAATAAATCTTTTGTGACTCGTACCATCTCCCGTTACCGTGATACTGGTAGCTAAGCCCGACGTCAAGAAAGTGGAGGGAAGAAAACAGCAACATCAGCAGAAATTTTTCAAAAAGTAAAGAAGCGACTTGATCGAACCCCCATTGCAGTGGCCGAAAAATGTCTCGTGAGCTGAACATATCACAATATTCCATTTGGCAAATATTAAAAAATAGGCTCGGGGTAAAGCCATTGAAATTTCAAAAAGCGCTAGAGCTTACACCTCAACAGAAAGAAAATAGACTCAAAAGAGCTGAAGAGTTGCTTCGTTTGGCCGAAAGTGGTGAACTGCCGATGGGAAAATATTCTTTGTCCAGCAGTTTGTAAACAAACAAAATGATCGTGTTTACTTGCCAAAAAGGTCAGCTAAAAATGTGCAGCTTCGGTTGGCCACCAGAACTCAAGCGCCGGCCAATTGTGATGGTGTGTACCGCCACAACAGCCGATCGTCGCTCTCCGCTCGTATTAATCGACCGTGGCATCAGAATAAATTCGGAATAGTATCGCGAAAATATTCTGAAGGCTCAAACCTGAAACTTGGCTCAAACCTGATATTCTTGATACAGAAATATTTCCCGATAATTATCTAATTTTCAGAAAGGACAGATTGAATAAAAAAGGTGGTGGGGTTCTGATTGCAGTCCACCACTCGATTCCTTCGGAAGCTGTCGATATTTTTGTCGACCCAAATAATGAATTTGTTTGTGCAAAGCTAATAGTCTTTGGTAATACAATATATATAACCTGCTCTTATATTACACCCAATTCAGGGGTTGAAACTTACTTAAATCACGCTGATCTTATTGGAAAAGTTTCCTCTTTGCTAACAGATAACTCTACTTTGATTTGCATGGGTGATTTTAATCTTCCTAATGTTTCTTGGGTCTCGGGTGATAATAAATTAGATTTTGTACCCTCTACTTACCCAGTTGTACTCGACGCTTTTTGGGATAAGATTTATGAACTTTGTTTATACCAAGTAAATTTTATACTCAATGATAAGGAACGACTCCTAGATTTAATTTTCTCATCTTCCCTAAATATTTCGCTTTGTAGAAGTCCTCCATTTGTAATTCCTGAGGATACTTATCATCCAACGCTCCTTTTAAACCTTGAATTAAGGAACACTCTGTCCAATATTACTGTTATTAAAACTTTATCTAGTAGGCGAAATTTTGCGAAGGCCAATATACCCCTACTACGCTCTCTCTTATCAGGTTCTATGTGGTGCATCAATGGCGACATTGATTCACGTGTTTCTTAATTTTATGAACAGCTCAATTTATCTCTAGCTAGCTCCGTACCAATGGCAAAACCATTAGTTGACCAAGGCCCTGCTTGGTTTACAACTACACTAAGACGTCTATGTAATATTAAAAATAGACTTTTCAAAAATTTCAAAAAATCTAACACTGCCGTAAATTATTCAAAATATTCCATGGCAATAAATAGATATAATTCGGAAAACTCCAAATGTTATTCTCAGCATTTAGCCCAAATGCGGCAGAATTTATTAAACAATCCTAAGAATTTCTTTAAATTTGTAAACTCCAAAAGGAGAGCTCAGAAATTTCCCTCCAGCATGAAACTTGGTAGTAAAGAGTCAGACAATCTTGAAATTGCAAATTTATTTGCTGACTTTTTTCAGTCATCCTATACCCAGGGCACATCTAGAGGCCCTTGCGAAATTCATACCACTTCATTGAATCACTTTCCCTGCATTATCTTAACCGAAGACGAAGTCTTAAATGGTTTAAAGACATTACGCTCCTCATTTTCCCCTGGCCCTGACGGTGTTCCAACCTATATTTTAAAATCTTGTGCTAGAGAATTATACTTACCATTGACTAAGATATTTAATTACTCCTTGAAAATAGGTTATTTTCCAAGATCGAGTTTTGTTACTCCACTCCATAAATCAGGCAATAGACGTTTCATAGATAACTATAGATGTATTGCTAAGTTAAGTGCCATTCCTAAACTTTTCGAACTCTTAGTCTCACGTCGGATGTCACATTTTATAAAAAGCATATTATCACCTTTTCAGCATGGTTTTATGAAAGGCAGATCTACCACTTCTAATCTTTTAGAATTTGTGTGCCATGTTCACAACGGATTTATAAATAAACAACAAACTGACGCTATTTATACAGACTTCAGTAAAGCCTTTGATACCGTAGTGCATAAGCTTTTGCTATATAAACTCGATACTATGGGTTTTCCGACAGCTCTGTTAGGCTGGATTTCATCATACTTGGAGGGTCGTACCCAAAAAGTCATTTTCAATGATTCATTTTCAAAAAAATATTGTTGTTTCTTCTGGCGTACCTCAGGGTAGTCATTTGGGTCTTTACTTTTTGTTTTGTATCTTAATGATCTCCCGGATCACATTCGATTCTCTAAAATACTAATGTATGCTGATGATGTGAAGCTTTACATGCATATAAATTCCCTTGACGATTCGACTTTCTTACAGTACGATTTACATTCCCTTGTGAACTGGTGCAGTGCCAACGGTATGTCCCTTAATCTTAAAAAATGCAAAAAATTTTCGTTGTCACGATCTCAGCCAATACATTCTAACTACTTTATTGGTTCATACAAATTACAAAATGTTGATTCCTTTACTGACCTCGGTGTTATTCTAGATCCTAAACTACGTTTTCATTTACATATTAACTCATGTGTTAATAAAGCCAAGTCTTTACTAGGTTTCATAAAACGCTGATCTAAAGAGTTCGATGATCCATATGTCACCAAAAGATTATTTGTAAGTTTAGTTCGCCCAATATTAGAGTACGGATGTATTCTGTGGAGTCTTTTTTATAAATGGTACTCAGATAAAATCGAATCAGTTCAAGTTCAATTCTTGATTTTTGCTCTACGGGGCCTTAACTGGAACCCGACAGAATTACTTCCAACTTACGAAAATCGTTTACTATTAATTGATCTCCCAACACTTGAAAGGAGGCGGTTTATGCTAAGAGCGTTATTTATTATCAAATTAACACGCGGTTTGATTGATTCTCATTTTTTAACTGGGAAGTTACTTATAATATTCCTTCTCGTAGAACTCGTCATTTCGAAACTTTGAAGTTATCTCTCGCAAGAACTAATTTCGCAATCAGTAACCCATTGAGATCTTATGTGTAATTTACAATAGTCTATGTAATAGTATTTGTTTAAGTAATTCGTTGAACTCTATTAAAAGATCTATTCTCCACATGTGATTGTATATGTTCACTTACCTATTTTTTTTTTTATTTTAAAAAGCTCATTTTTGCGGCACCTGATCTACATCTCCCTTTGCGGAACCAGTAGACCCAGCCTTTGAGCACTAGTTGTCAGAATCTTTAAGTTCATTTTAACGGCACCTAGTCTACAATTCCCTCTGCGGAAACAATAGACATCAGCCTTTGAACAGTAGTCTTTGTTTAACATATTATTTTCACTGTTATTTGTTCATATTTGTTATAAATGTTATATTTTTGCTCTAATTCCTATCTCTATAGTGTATTTTTACCTATTACTTTGCCGGCTGATGTACTAGACTGTAGCTGGCACCACTAACTCACAACTAACCCACCATTCCCGGTCTTTGGTGTGTACGCGCTCCCTACGTATGGGGAGGTCGCCCCCTCGGTCGGCAGGGGTGGGAGTGAGAGGCGTGGGAACGAACGACAAAAAAAAAAAGGACGTATTATAGCCTTGGGCACGCAATCATTTTGGCCGCAGACCTTGGACATTCCAACAGGACTTAACACCATCCCACTCAGCACACCCCACCCAAGAATGGTTACAAAATGAGGTTCTTCGCTTCATTTCCAGCTCACAATGGCCACCAAAATCTCCGGATATCAATCCGTTGGACTATTGTGTCTGGAGTATTTTGGAAAGCAAGGTTGGCATTAAAAAATACTAAAGTGTCAAGTGTCGGCGCTTCGCCGGGGATGGGCCAAAATAGCGCAGAGCAACATTCGGGCAGGGTGTGAAGGTTTCATTGGTCGTTTGAAGGCCATAATTCGTGCCAAAGCTAACCAATTCGAACAAGTCTAAACTTATTATGAAATTTGATACTATTTCCGACATTTTTCGCTTTCATTAAATAAAACTTAAAAAAATGTAAAAATTATGGCGTTTGATTTTGCTGCAGTTTTTTATCTCACCCTATATGCGTGAGCTATAGCTATGTCTAAATCAATTTAATGTAATGTACTTGCTTCTAGACTAAGTTCGGTCAGATATGCCAAAATTCAGGTCATTTGGACTGATATTGGATATTTGGTGCACAATTAACCAGAAATCGGTTGAGGATATATATGAGACCTATATCGAAATCTTAACGAATCTTGGCAAAATTTTGATACCCTTATTTCAGAGCTGTATCTGATTGCTTGTACCAAAGATCATTGTTGTGGAATGCATAGTACGCTTGTGAGGGACTTTAAACTCCCAATCGGATAAAACATATATATGGAAGCTGTAGCTATATC